GGAAAAAAGGACGAGCTTGTCAGGAGCAATAATCCCGCTAAAAACTTTATAGCGTACAGTTATTCCAAAGTAAGCATTGTTGTTTTGGAAAAACGAGTAAAAAGCTGAGCATTGACACAATGGTTTCCTTAAATAGTGCTAATAAGAACTTTGCAAACAGAATACATCATGAAATCTGAGGAGTGACAAAAAGCAAGCATCCGTTCGGCGTACGTTCAAGAATGTAGCGCGCCGATAAATATCGGCTATTGCAGGAACAAATTTATAGACAAGCAAACCGAACGTGGCCGTTTCAATTTACAACTTTCGAACGCTTTTTTGAGCTTTTTTCAGGCGCGTGTCTCGCATCTGTCCGTCTTCCATTATTCAGCAAGATTTCTTCGCCGGCATTAATATTTCAGCGCAAGCTGCAGATTTTCCGAAATTTCGGCGTGCCCACATTCTGTCACGTGTCGCGGGCTAAATCAGAGTAGGTTCCAACGATGAAGATTATCGGTGGCTGCCTCGCTGTAAATTTCAGGACCAGTCCAAATACTATGTCCATAAAGGATTTTTATATCACTTTAATGACACAAGTTTTTGTCCGTCAAAATTTATAAGACCGTTTAAGTGTGTCGTGAATTTATAAGCAGAAAACAAGGGAAGTGAGTGGCGTGGATGAATGTACCCTTCTTTGACTATAGACGTGGCAGATGTCGCGCTGATATTTATTGTCCTTTGAGTTGAATGCAGGTCAGCGCAGACGTAAAGCAGGTGCCACTGCTTTCCTTTATTGTTGCTAAATGTTTCAAATACTTGCCTTATTAGGCGAAATTACCGAGACGACAATCCTAGCCACACCAGAGTAAATTAAATTTTATTAAATTCACAAAAAATACTTTCAGATGATTCATTGGTATTTCCCGTAGTTCGAAAAGGAAAGTTCAATAAATTTATTCCGAGTTTAAATAACTACTTTGTCTTTAGTAAAGAATGGTAGCCAAATTTCTGCCACATTTACGCGAATGCGGATGCGGAACTTTCGTTATGTTACACAGGAGCCGATTTTGCATAAGAAATTTATAGTAACAACTATCACTATCAAAATTTAACAAGTTTAGAATAAATATTGTTTTCGTTCTTCTTTGTTGTGGAGTGAACAACAACGCGTTGTATATTTCAGTTTGATTAACAACAATTTGCTCTTTCTTTGCTTTTCCCATTTTATATTGTGTGCAGGCGGATTGTAATTAACTCTTGACACTTTCCCGCTGAGAAATGTTAAACATTGTATCAAGTCGAGCCGAGAATCCATTGCGTAACGTGGGTTTCTTACAATCGAGCGTCTAGTTTACCAGCAGAAAAATTTCACGCCGTAATCGATTTACAAACAAAAGTGAAAAACATTCAAAATTATTAAAAAAGCTGAGAATTTTGTTTGTTACAACGTGCCACTCGTTGACTTTTCCTGGTAATAATCAATCAGGATTAAAGCATTTCTTCTTTTTGTTCAGTGAGCTTTACTTTTGAGTTACTTCGAATCAGAAGAAGTGCAAAATTTCCGTTACACCGATTTTTTGTCTGAGACAAAGAATGGATAGTAAATTTAATAAATCGTTATGCATATTAACCTTCCAGGAAAGTGTATTGTGGGTTTTGCTTTCTTCAGACTTCGAATTAGAATGACAGGTTTTAAGTAATCCGTTGCCAACTTTTTCAACTGTGAATAGATCTTGCCTTTTCTGGAGTTCATGGCTTAATGCTTGAAACTGGCTTATTTTTGTTTCTTTGTGTGTTTGATGGTTCTGCGGTCCGCTCGAAGCCACACACTCTTTACATGGTGGATTATTATTGAAACATCAAGCTGCATTAAACGATGGTCAGGTGACATCTTACGGTAACATCGAAAATACGAGAAAATAATAAAGTACAATCAAAAGATGTTTTACAGTTTTATCACTTTTTTGTCGAATTTTGGGCACAATTTGGGTCTCTTATATGCAGTCTGGGATACGTTTTTCATCAGTCATTACCTTTCCAATAGAAGACACAGTGCGTGTTTCAGGTCTATGACACCATTGCCTCAGTTAAAATTTAGTTTTGTGTCTCGACTTCTCTCCATAAGGAAAACAGATTTTTTTTAATGCAGTTTTTGATTTGCTAACTCCTGGATCTCCTTTAAAGCAGTACACAAATTTTCAAACAATCGAAGTATTTTTAAACTCTGTTGATTTTCCATAAGTTATTTTTGATTACTCAAGAATTTAAAATTCAAATTTTTTTAATGAGCCAAAAATGACTGCATGTTGCACGGGGTTGCTTGATCGATAGGTCACAAGCTTGTCCTACTTTAACGAAAATAACCTCAATCTACATTGAGATTTTCTGTGTCAAAGCTGTAGAAGTAACTATCCAAATAGCAATAAAAAAACGATCAAAGATGGAGTTTTGAAGATTTGTTTTTGATAGAATTTTTGTCCTTCCAGATTATCGTCAATTCGAAAGTTTGATTTGAAAATGCAACTATCAAAGACAAACTTCCAAAAATTCATGACTACCTTTGATCATTTTTGTGGTTGAAATGTACTACGAAATATATATGTATATATTTTTCGACCAGTGTTTTCATTCCACCCTTAAATATTTTTTGAAATCTTCTTTATTGAGTCAGCGATGTGTTCTTCTTATTTAGGTTTTCCCTCTTTGGTCTGCACCAATCTACTATAATTTTGATTTGAGGTTTCCGATTTTTCTGTCATAATCTTAAAGAATCTAAGATCTAATCACTAAGTAAATTGTAAAATATTTTAAGTTGCATTATTTTTCAAAATTTTAATTATTTTGATTATTTTCCATGTACTTATTAAATTTGAAAAACACGTTACATAGCAGTTTGTAAGCTTCTAACTAATTAGAATAAGAAAAAAAGTCTATATTACTACGAAAAAGTCGCATATTACTGTATTTACGGGAAAATTGTATAGGATATGAAAAGATGTTGAATGAATCCTTTTTATAATGGTAAGAAAAATAATAAAAAAAATGATCTCATGTTATTAAACAGAATTTACAACGCCCCTGAAGTACACGATAGACAGCAGACAACCGACAGAATGACAACAGACAGACGACAGACAAGGAAACCTATTTTTTATACTTTAGTGGTCATGAAATGTCGAGAAGATGTGAAAGTAGCCAATCGCCGGATAGGAAAATGATTTTCAAAAATTTTCAAAAAAAAGGATGTCTATTAAAAAGTCAGAAGTCTTTTTTATCGTAGGTCTTGAAATAATGTAAACGAATGTCAATATGATTTTCAAAAATTTTACAAAAAAAAAACTCCAAGCTCAGTTCAGTTAAGAAAATTCATTCTTACAGAGAATTTTTGGTCGATTATGAATACGAAGTTATTTTTCTTGTAAGTTTTTTAACGAAATAGGAAAAACTAGGAAAACACGTGCTGTCGAAAAGAAAAAAAAACATTAGCATATAGAGAATTTGTGGTAGAAAAATGTGAAGCTATTTTTTGCTCCTCCTTTTCAAATAATCGATAACAACGGAAATTTATTTTCAAAAAACATTCTAAAAAACGTTAAATCTATTTGAATAGAAAAAAAGAGCTGACTTGATTTTTTCACGGGTTTTTAAATACATAATTGAAAAAATTAGGAAAATAATTTTCAAAGGAAAAAACAATCTCTATAAAAAAATGAAAAAACTCGAATTTGTAGAGAATTCTGCGTACATTATGAATCTGAACGTAATTTTACTACAAGTCTTGAAATAGTGAAGAAAAATGTCAAAACAATTTGCAAAAAAACTTTGGGTTAAGCTCTATCCGATTGAAAAAAAATCTGAGTTAGAAAGAATTTTTTTCTAAAGTTATTTGCTTATAAGTTCTGTAATGAAATCACACTAGGAAAATATGTAAAAAAAGTAAAAAAACACTAGAATATATAGAATTTCTAGTAGATTACAAATCTGAAGTTATTTTTGCTCCTCAAATAATCTAGAACAACGTAAATTTAATTGTCGAAAGTTTTTCAAAAAACGTTAAACCGAACTCTATCTGAATGAAAAAAAAAGACCTGACTTGATTTTTGCTACGAATCTTGAAATAATTGAGAAAAATGGGAAAATAATTTCCAAAAAGAAAAAATAGTCTACTACAAAGAAGAAAAATTCGACTTTGTAGAGAATTCTGCATAGATTATGAGTCTGAAATCAGTTTTACTACAAGTCTCGAAATAGTGAAGAAAAATGTCAAAATAATTTACAAAAAAATGGGTTAAGCTCTGTTAGATTGAAAAAAATTTTGGCTTGGAGAGAATTTTCCTAGATTATGAATATGAGGTTATTTTTCTTGTGAGTTGTTTAACGAAATAAAAAAAAAATAGTCAACAGTACTATCGAAAGGAAAAAACATCAGCTTATAGAGAATTTCTGGTAGACAATTCTGAATTTATTTTTGCCCTTCCTCCTCAAATAATCGAGAATAACGGAAATTTAATTTCCAAAATCTTCCAAAAAACGTTAAATCGAAATCTGTTTGGATGAAAAAAAGCCGTAACTCGATTTTTGGTATGGATCTTGAAATAATTGAGAAAAATGGAAAAATTATTTCAAAAGAGACAAAATAGAGTCTTGTCTCGAATTTAGTACTCAACGCAACAAAATATGCAAAGACTTCTCAAAATCTACGCCGAAAATTTTGTTTATTTCTAATAACTTCTCTGTTGGGAAAGTGGTATGAATGTAATACTCTCTAGCTCGTTCCTACTTTTTAACCAAATTTATTCCTTGCATACTAAACGGAATCCTCCAATTAATTACCGCATTTTTCGCCAATTTTACTTTCAAGAGCAGATTCGTTTAATTTTTTATTGGTCGCTTCCGTTCTTTAAAGCGTTTTTTGCGATGTTACAACAAAGGTTAGAACAAATTTCCCGTGACTACTAAAAATAATTTGTGCAAGGTTACAGAATTAATATTTGTGGTTTAACAAATCTGCTTTTTTGCAGGCACGCTCCGACCTCCAGGTCTAATCGGAGGCAGCAAACCAAAAGTAGCAACGCCGGCCGTAGTTTCCAAGATCGAACAGTACAAAAGGGAAAACCCCACAATATTCGCCTGGGAAATTCGGGAAAGATTAATATCAGAAGGTGAGTGCAGAGGCGCCCGTTACCGCCACAAAAATAAGCAATTATCAAGCGCATTAATTACGGAAATGATTTCCACAGAACTAGAAACGCCACAGACTAATTATCATCAAACACGATTTTTGTGCGTGTCGATTTAAAATCGACGTAATTAAATAAAATTAAAAGATACACGTTCCGTGACGAAGCCGTGACTTTTTCGAAAACTGCGTGTGAATGAAAACACTTGTTTGTATTAACAAAACCGCAGGTAAAGGAACGAAAGAAATGACAATGTTTAGGGGTTTTATATTGTTTAGGTTGGCCAAACTGGCAGCGCCGACTCGACTATTGTTACGAAAAACCACACCTAATTATACGTATTGTGAATGCGGGGAGGATAAAGTAAATTATAGCCACTCTTTTAAAAAGACGTTTCCATTCTTGGATATAATACTTCGATGCGACGCAGAACTGGTGGCTTCCTCTGCGTTTTCGACAATTCTAGTTAAATGGACTTCCTGGCATGCACCGACGTTAATTAGCCTTCCGGCTGACGACAGCCATTTAAATCAATCGCAAAATGGCGTTGGTGCAAGTTCGAGCTGCAAATGAGCCGTACAGTGGCGGAGAAAATTTCGACTTCTTTGATAAAAAAAAAATGACAGTATAATAGGCAGTCAATTCCTCCAGGAAATTTTTGCCAAGATACTCGTGCTACTCTTATACTCTCATAGGTTGTTTTATTTCTATTTGGGTTCGTCATCTTCACAATTGATCTTTTGGTTGCCTTTCTGGTATCTCCGCCACTGGATCCGACGTCGGATCTCAATTGTTCAGCCCCGGGACAAATCGGAACCCACCTCATGTAATTACACTGTGACTGATGAATGATTAATAATTGTATATTTATCATACGGATGCATTGATCATGATCACACTTGGATGCAAGGATGAGATACCATCACTTCGATTTGATTTATCTGCACGTTAATTCCCCATTCAAACCCTCCGGCACCACCGTGTCTATCAATAAATTCAATCCCAGGCGGTGCTTCCTTTATTTATTTATTTTTTATGCATCTCATCCGGATCCATATTAATAATCGCAACAACGGGGATAATAAAAGGCCACATACTGTCTGCCACCGGTCAAACTTCCCAATTCGTAGCCAATTTCGTCGTAATTGAATTTTTTTCACGTAATTATGTAATAAAGCAATTTTCATCAAAGCTCGAAGAAGAACACCACGGTGGGCCACAATTGCAAATACACATTTAAAATAATAACCACACCATACCATCCAAGTCTACCTCGATTCAATAGTCCTGTTGGCTATGGTCATTCAATTGGACACGCGACTGAAAAGAACGATTGTATGTTGGACTCTTTGTCTGGCGCTCACGCCTCATAATGGCACATGTAGTTCCGTCTCTATTACATTCCATCAGCATTGTGGATCCAGCACGGATTCATAATTGAATAATATTTTTCTCGCATCAGGTTGGTATTCATGGTGGCAGCCAAACTCCATTCACCAAGCCACAAGTAGGATAATTTAGATCGATCTATTAAAACGAGACCCGAATATTCAGATTTGGCAGACCATTGATCCACCGACACTCAAAGGCTTATAAGGACTATAGATTTTCGCCCGGTACTTCTGTATGACACAATGAAATAAACAGTTAGCCAATATTCAAAGAAAACACCACACTTCGCAAAAAATAGTGTACATGCCGAAAGTGAAACAAGAGTGAATCCTTGAGGACCCCTGAAGATATTTTGTTGCGGCTGCTGCTAGTATAACAAGTTCAGTTTTAAAAGAGCTGAATAGCGTACGGTTGTGAAGATTTCCGGCTCACGGGACAACACATTTTTAACTTCTTATTTTTTCCTTACTTTACTATACATTTATTTCGTTGTTTGGTTCGAACTACTTACAAGAGAAATGATGTCCAGCTTGTCGGTTTTCGAAAAAAATCCCCAAGAATAAATAAAAGATGTGACACTTAATAATCCCAATAGGTACACTGTTACAGTACAGTTAGATTGTTTTTCGTCTTACTTTCCTTCCCTTTGTGCTGGTCTTCTGATGGTTCACTTTCTTTGGTAATGTAGACGAAGTACATACGCCAAATCCAGCTGTTGCTGTTGCACACTTTTCGTCTGGTAAAAGGACAAAACTTGCCATCTCATCTGGTAAGAGTGACATAATAGTGATCTTTCCGCGTTCGTCGTAAGAATTGTTTTCGTCTGCTTCCCACAAAGGAAGAAACTTTCGAGTAAGAATCGTTAATCGGCCGAACGGCATGTTCAAGCCTTCAACGTCTTGCAGTTTGGTTATTGGAACGAATTGGAGTGTTGGGCTTTAGCGGATGAGAGCGTCGCTGAAGGTTGATCGAGCAAAGCGGTCGGATTTGACGAGCTGTCAGTGTCGCGGTAAGTGTGACATTTTATTTGAGCGAGGCGAGTTTAATTAAGAAGCTTCCTACTTAAAGATCACACGAACCTTGAAAACATTTAGGATATGGTCTGTTGTCGCCAGGTTTGAAACGGATGTATCCAGAGTAATTGCTCGACACTGTGAGTTGTACTCATTGTGTTGAACGGTCCGGTAAGCAATCTAGTTAACGTGAAATCTCGATTTCATTTGTCACAGAGAGGTGTGGTGCCGGCGAAGAAACGAGACCAATCACGCCCCCTGGAGTGCGGAAAAGATCGCTAAGCGAGGGTAGCACATCTGCAGGTGGTCGTGAGATCGACCACCAGACCGAGAATTGTCCTCGCCGGAATTCCGCCTTGCCGGAAGACATAAAGTCGCAGTTGCTAACTCATCTCGGCCCTACTATTATGGCAAATAATTGGAATCAACCGACCTCCAAACAGCGTAGCTAAACTTGCGTCCGGCGACGAGCTATCGATAATTATGGGTGCTTATTGTTTCGCGCGGTGATCACCTTTGAGAGGAGAGTGCTTGAGAAACTATGCGCTCCATTGTGACGGTGGTCGAGGGCTCTCTTCGATTAAACAAACAGTCTGCCCAGTCATTACGTTCGATCAGTGACAGAGGGTTTTTGAAACGCAGAAACGCGTCTGATAAAAGTCGAATCAGATCCTTGCCAATGCGGCGTTCCGCGAACTTTGGTGCAAAAGCCCCTTCGCAGAAACTTCTCCGTTTCATATTGCACACTTCACTAATGACGGGTGATTATCTTGTCAGCTAAGCAGGCAGCACCAACCACAAAGGACTTAATACTTTGTGGCAGTGGTTCCCAAGCTTTTCCAAAAGACACCGTCTTCGAGCAAGAACTTTTTCTTCGTTGTTTAGTCTCTCACGGTCTTAAATATGGTTTTATCGTATTTCCAATAAACCTGAATGTGTTGTTTGTCCAGAAGTTTTGTCAACAGAAAGTCTGGCATCATTGAAGCTACTTACACAGTTAAATACCAAACATCCGGACAAAAACACAAATCTATGGTACTATTTGTAAGGAAGCTAAACTCACTGCACAAGGAGAAAGCCAGTTTTACATGAACAAACACAATTAATGAAAAAACATTACACTAGTAAGTGAACTAGTTTCTTTTCGCATTGCAAAAGCCAATAAGTCACATACAGTTACTGAAGATCTGATCTTGGTACCTGGAATCTTCTTCGATCTTTCGATGCCCAACACTATAAGCTTATTTTCCCTATAATACATAGAAGAAAGAAAAGAAGTCAACTTTTGAATAACGCCTTGAAAAGAATTTTCCAGTTAAAAACATAACTTTTGTTGTAAGTACTTACAACACGAGAAATCGGAATACGAGAACGAATTTTCCAATTTTCTTCGGTTTCTTAAACTGGATTTCCTACTCGATATTTTTGAACATTTGAAAATTTAAGTATTAATCTGTAAGACTATGACAGATCGGACAAAATTAACGAATTTATAAAAAAAAAAATTCAAACTGGGGGAAAAAAATGATTCATTCCACTGCGTCCCAGATTTAGCTAAATGTTCATGAAATTCTTTCAAATTACTTCAAAAACAAGAAAATACACTTCCCAAATTCTTTTAAACTCCTTCAAAAATAAAACAAAAGTGCTCTCAGAGTTTCTTTCAAACCACTTCAAAACCAAAACAAAAAGGGTTCCCGAGATTCTTTCAAACTACTTCAAAACCAGATGCAAGTGGTCCCCGAGATTCTTTCAAATTACTTCAAAAACAAAACGTAAGGATTCCCGAGATTCTTTTAAACTTCTAAAACCAGACAAAAAGGGTTCCTGAGATTCTTCCAAACTATTTCAAAACCAAAACACCGGTGATCCCCTAGTTTTCTTTCAAACTACTTCAAAAACAAAACACAAGGGCTCCCCGAGATTCGTACAAACTACTTCAAAAACAAAACACAAGTGGTCTCCGAGATTCTATCACACTACATCAAAACCGAAACAAAAGTGATCCCCGAGATTCTTTCAACGAACTTGGAAAACCAAACAAAAGGGGTCCCTGAGATTCTTTCAAACTTCAAAATCAAAACAAAAGAGGTCCCCGAGATTCTTTGAAACCACGTCAAAAATCAGACAAAAGGAGTCCCCGAGATTCCTCCAAACTACTTCAAACACAAAACACAAATGGGCCCTGAGATTCTCTTAAACTACTTCAAACACAAAAGACAAGGGGTAGCCGAGATTCTTGTAAACTACTTCAAAAATCATACCCAAGGGGTCCCCGAGATTTTTTTAAACTGATTACTTCAAAAACAAAACAAGTGATCTCCAGGATTCTTTCAAATTACTGCAAAAACAAAACAAAAGGGGTTTTCAAGATACTTTCAAACTACTTCAAAAACAAAACATAAGGGACTTCTAAAATTCTTGCACTCTACCTCAAAAACAAAACAGTAGAAGTCCCCGAGATTCTTTCAAATTATTTCAAAGACAAAACACCATGGGCAGGGGCGGATACCAACCCGAATCCAAATTTTATATAGTAAAATAAAGTAATTTTTCGGGCTTTCAGGCTCCGGTGTAGATTTTTCCCGCTAAGTGTAGTATAATCAATTCTAAGCATGTTTTTGTAGAAATGCAAATCAGTTGCACAGTTTAAAACTACAGCTTTGCAATTATTTCCCCAAAGAAATTCAAAACAGTTATGATAATTACCGTTTTTAGAGAACTTTCAATATGCTGAGATTCCGACAAACTTGAAGGAATAACTTACTGAGCTACCAAGTAATGGAATGAAGAAACTAGTTTTTTTCTCAGAACCTAGATAAGTTTTAAACCCAAATAAAATAAGAAAACCCCCAGTTCGCGAACGTAACTGTCGAGCACAACAAAAGTGAGAAATCGCTTCCAATTTGAAAATTATATAACTGTGGCTGCATGACATAGAGAGCGTCAAATTGGAAAACTAGTTTCTGAAAAACAAGCATCAATATCCTTTAACTTTGTAATTTATTTTACACGAAGTGTTAATGTTTCCGTTTATGGTGGAAGGGTATTAATGATTATGTTCCTCGATACGCAACAAACTTGTTAAATCAGTTAAATGTTAACGCATTATTTTTAAAAATCCTCTACATTTTGGGAACCGCTGCTTTATGGTAATTATTGGTTGCAGGTGTGTGCACCAATGCAACGGCCCCATCAGTGAGCAGCATCAACAGGATACTCCGAAACCGGGCTGCTGAAAGAGCCGCAGCGGAATTCGCCCGGGCTGCCGGTTATGGCCTGTACCACCCGCACCCGTACGCGGCGGCGGCCGCCGCCTTCCCGTGGCATTCGCCCCTGTGGCCCAACAGCCCGTTGGGTCTGCAGCCGCCGGGGGCCGGGTCGTCCATGATGGCCGGCTCCCCCAGCTCGTCCGGGTCGCCTCACCCCGACCACGGTCTTCTCAGTTCGCCCCCGGGCACCCACCCCGACAACAAGGACGACTCCAGCCTCGACAGCTCCGAGCAGCCCAAGTTCCGCCGAAACAGGACCACCTTCAGCCCCGACCAGCTCGAGGAGCTCGAGAAGGAGTTCGAGAAGAGCCACTACCCCTGCGTGTCCACGCGGGAGCGCCTCGCGTCCAAGACGTCCCTGTCGGAAGCCCGCGTGCAGGTAGGTAGAAGTGCTCAAACGCCCGATCTGACTAATGGTGGTATATTGAAACCAGGTTTGGTTTTCCAACAGACGAGCGAAATGGAGGCGCCACCAGCGCATGAACCTGCTGAAGCAGTCGTCCCCGGGGCCCCAGGGCAGCCAGTCTTCGATGTTCGGCGGCCGCTTGACGCCCTCACCGCACTACACTGCCGGTTCCACCCCTGGCTCGCCGCTTACTACGCCTCATCGCGCCGGGGGGCCGACGGCGTCCTCCCTTTTATTGCAAATGGGCGGCGAAAATAGTGCCTTCAAGGCCTTGGTGCCGAACCCGCTGCTGGCCCCCGACGGCATGCGGCGGCTGAGCGACTACACGGACTCCGAGGAGGAGATCAACGTCAACGACGAGTCGGACGTGGAGGAGGCGGCGGAACGGAGGCGGAGGTCCAGGTCGTCGAGTCCCGTCGAAGTTGTCGACTCACCCGCCAAGGAGACGCCCACATGTCAGCCTTTGCAGCTCACCATGCACGATCGCGATTAATTTATTGAGGATTACGTACATGGTGAAACAGCATTACCAAAGCAATTGAACTCTTATACACTTAATTTATGTCTGTAAATACTTATTTAAATGACGTGTCAGCGGCTGTGACTCGACTGACAATTTTGCCCAAGCTAAGGTTCCTTCATTCTGCTCTCTCATCACACAACCGATAATTACGGCGAATCGAAAACTCGACACCTCCTCTTCCCTAAATAGGAGACACTTGGAACATTTCGAAATTATAGACGAAGAAACAAATATTGTACTATATGAATTTAGACACATGTATATGGTCAGCGTTCAAAGAACGAAACTGATGTCCCAAGTGTTGGTAGCCTCCTCGGTTTCGAAACCGTCCATCAAAATTTTCTCGGTCAAGCAAAAGACCACATTCGAGCTCCCTGGACGAAGGGACCAGCGAGTGATGGCCGTCTGAGGAACTCGTATCTGGCGCTATCGGACGAACTTTCCTTTTCCGTTCCGAGGGGGCTACAGAGGACCGAGCACCAGCTGTAAATACCCAGTCGTACTGTCGATCGTACTCTAGCTGTAGAAAAGAAAAATTGTTACTTATTTAAATTTTGTGTACATTAAAGAAGAACAAAGCGTTTAGTTTTCTAAATTGGTCGGTTGTCCGGTTTGTTAGAGAGCGTAGGCTTTTCTAATGAATGAACGCCGACAGCAACTCGTCCATTGTATAGTAGCCGTAAGAAACTGTAATAATTGTTAACGAAATACAATTTGCATAAACGTTTGTCTAAGGTATCATTCATCCGTTCCAGTAAAAATCCGTTGCTCCGAGAGCAATACTCCCATGGCCATTAGTTTCCTCAAAGGCGAGAAAGACTTCCTTATTACGTTTGATTTGATTGATGAATTAAACATTAACGATTTATTCGCTTGTTATCGGAGCGAATCGGTTGTGTATTGGAAACAGAAATGTAAATGTGGTTTTGAAATAAACCTGGAATTCCGATATTCACCGTCGTGTTAACACAATAAGGAGTGTCGACGAAAGTGGATGGTAGCCGTGTGGATTTATGAGTTTAACTAATACTTGTAGGTCGATAACGTTAACATAACAAGAACCATCGGCTGGGTCGTAAACAACGCTGGAAGAATGCCGTGAGTGTCACGGCAGAGGCGATTTTTTGGGGCCAGAATTTGAAAATCGAACGGATTTACAGGGCCGGCTCAGACGCCAAAAAACGAGACCGCTGCAAGAGAATTATGATCAACATTTATTAAATCAGTTCTATTTTAAGCAAATAATTCAAAGCATGTCTTACACTCCTGACAGGTAGGTACATATTAATTATATTGTATTAGTACTCACTTTCTGCAAAAAAATGTTCTTGTTGGCAATTAAAATCGCCGAACAAGAATGCAGCGGTTTTGACCTTACTGGGACACCGCGTGGAATAAATAAATTCTTATTGTATCATTTTCTGAACTCCAACATTTTGGTGTAAATGGAAATGAATTGCTATATAACGAAACCGATAATTCTTCTTTTCTGACGTAAAAGGAAAATTACCTTTCATGTCACAAGTAATGAAAGGCTTTAGAGATCGACGTTTTAAGCATAACGATTCTATTATTTTCATTATTACCTTAACAATCACATAAATTTTTCAAAAGTATACTTGTTGTTTTGCCATACGTTCAAAATATTTAGTTATGTATTTCGAAACGAATCTTTGCATTAGATAACTTAGTTTGATTGAAAAAATTAACTACCAGGAAGCTAGCTGGTGGACAGTGAGTAAATGAAATAAAAATAAATAAACTCAAAAAAACTTTATTATAGAACAAACTTCCGTTATTTTTTTTTAATTTTTAATTGAGATATTATAATAATTCATGTATCCTGTCCTCTATGGAGATTAGTTAATTGGAGCTAGACAGTTAACCTGTGATGTCAAACAAAGTTTAGGATCCTTGTTACGATGTGTACAAAAATAATTAAATGTGTTCAGCGACTCAAGTGACAAAAGAACCAGGTGAGAAGACAGCAAAAATAAAAAAATACCACGCTGATCGGAAGAAGTTTATTTATTGATGTTTTAGATTTATTTAAAAAATTAGACAATATTAATGCCACGTCAGAATAGATCCTTTGCACGCCAGAAAATAGTTAAACCAGTGATAAATAAAATCTTTCAGAACGCCAGAAAAGGAGAATACACGACATATTAAGTCAATGCACGACAACAAAAATTTTAGGTTTGTACTGCGCTTTTATTATATTTTGCGTATCAGCAACTTTCCAAAATGACAAAATCTAAAAATCTATAGAACAACAACATTATTTTCTTGCTTGTGGTTCCAGCTTTACCAGAAAGCTCAATGTATTCTTCTCTCCTACGTTAGAATTTAAATTTGATCGGGTTGTTACGGCATATTGGAATATATTATAGGTTGTGGTATCCTTTCACTTTTGCTTGGATATATACAAGTGGCATAAAAGTGTTCGTATCTGGCCCTGCGGATTTCGACACGGCGTCAGGTTGAAGAAGACATCATCAGCGGTGCTCGGCAGTAAAATTAACAGTGCCCATAAAATTTAACGATAGATTATGGATACACATTTCCAGCTGATTAATTTGTTAGGTTTACGAGAGCGATAGCAAACAAATTTGTAATAAATTCCATGGTCGAGCTGAATTTGTATAAAAAACTGTTCGGAGGTGTTGAGAAATCAAGTTCCAATCCGAAGGTTCTTGAGCGTCCGATAATATTTTTCTTAATTAAGGAGCAGCCTCGCGTGTTTTCGACGTAATCTCGGATTTTGGTACGGCTCTAATTTATGTAACGCTTTTCGAACGTAATCAGAGGTGATAAAAAAGGAGGAAGTTCGGGGCGTTTTATTTAATTAAAAGATTAGATGCTTCGGTGACCAAAACTCGGCGAGGATGAATTATGGAAGCGATCAGCCAGATTTTATGGTTAATAAGCAGTTCGGGCCGGATTATTTTATACCGGTAATAATTTAGATACAAATTTCCTACGTTTATCTGGTAAATTTGACGTTGATGGCGGGGCATTTGAACATATTAATTTCGTGTCGAGCGGCGTGGGCGTTTATGCGCCAATTATTTCACAATGGTGTTTGGTTCGTTAAGATTTTACGGCGACTTAAGTGTCTCAAAAGTGCGAATAAGCGCACAGGATCTCACTTTGAATTTATATCTTTCCATTTTACAAACCTGAAATAACTTTAATGGTCGTTCGAGTGTTTTTCATTGACACTCATTTATATACAGAAATAATTAGACTCTATTAAGATTTGCATACATAATTCGGGTCTCTGTTTCGGGACCACGCGATATTCTCTCGCCTGACTAATTCGGTCTTCGGTGGCTCCGATTGAGACACTATTGTAATATATTGCCGTGATTGTCGACGTAATCCTGTTCAACACCGGACAAGCTCTGTTCAACAGTGCTGGCTATTTGCATAACCGGATAGTTCACTTTAACAGCGATCTTTATAACTTTATTTGTTTAAACGCAATTCCCAATGCTTCTAATTGCAAATTTTACGGCGCATACTTTCACCTAATAACATATTCTGCAATATTTTCTCGATCGTTTTTTTAAAGGAAGAAACTGATCCCTCGTTACAAAGACGACGTTCGTTTTTTCTCGCACCTGTAGTTACTGTGTTTACTTAATGAACGAGAAAATGTGTAATCAATTCATCCTTGAACATGAAATCGGTATTCATTCAAATGACACATTACGACAGAGATGTCAATCAAAACGATTAAGTCATAATGATGTTTACTATTTTTACTTCATTTTATTAGCAATAAATAAAAAATAACTTACTCTGCCCACTTTAATGATTTTTAGGTAAGTTACGAAATTTTTGGCTGCCTTTTAAAAATAAACCAACATTATTTTGACAAGGAATTTTTTAATAACAACGACATTAACGATAAAAAAAATTAATTACATTAAGTTACTGTGAAAAACTTAAAAGTGGGTAAAATAAAGAGCTATTTCTAAAACTTGCCCCTCCTAAACTGAAATTTGAAAAAAGTATTAAATAAGGAGAAAATTAAACCTAGATATATCTTTTAAAGGCAAGTTAACTATTTTTACCTCGTTGTATGAATAATGGTGATGGAATTTGAGGGGATATTAAGGATTTTAGAGATTTTGAGTGGTTTTTGGGCTTCACTTACATGAGTTTTTTTCACCTCTTTAAGCAAGTAAGTATAGAATCTAAAAAAAGACTCGCCACTGGTCAAAGCGTACATGAAAGATTGTGACAACCCAACATGTCCTTCTCATAGTATTTCCACTATACTGAAGTACAGGAATATGGTATTTTTTTAAATTTAAATAACATTTACCATGCACACAATTTTGATGTGCCGTTATCAAATTATTCGGACATATTTTTTTTTTTTCATACTCTGGGGGTCATAAAATATGGATAAAAGATTCAAGTAGCCATTCTTCATTTTAAATTTGGATACGAAGGGCAATTTTAAATGAAGGCAATGAAGCGGCAATTGTTTTTGCTACTAGAAAAATTGGTCGTGAATTTGAAATGTGCTTGATTATTTTTTATATATTTTTATATTATATTTATATTATTTTTTTATAACTGTAAATAATTTAAAATGAACTATTTTTCAAAGAACAGCAAGCAAGAGAACTTATAAAAGAATTCAAAAAATATATAAGAAATCGTTGGTTATTTGCTGTGAAACCAAAAAAGTAGGTGAAGACTTTTTATTGCTAAATTAACTTATATATAGTTACAGGTTCCGCGATTAAACGTGATTTTAATTTTCGAAACAGGTTTTGACTTTACGCAGAGAAACAATTTAAGACGATTGGTAGGTCCACTGAAAAGTATTAGTAGTAGTCAGGGTAGGTACTGCAATTTACAGTTCATTCTTTAGAACAGTTATATTTAATTTAGTCTTTTGCTTGAACTTTTACTTTCTTTCACTGTTTGATTTTTTTACTTTTCCTGTTATAGTCTTGTTTCAGTTATAGTCTTCTATCAAATTTTGTTTAACTTAGTAAAATAAGTATTTTGGCCTCGTTACACTACTTCTCTTAGGTGTTACACGGGAAGTGAAAGTAACATCTCGTAAAAATATAGAAAAGAACCTTGAGTTTCACTGAAAAAAAAAACGGAAAAAGTAAAATTTGGTACGGAGTGTGAGAAAATTATTGAAAATTGGGAGAAGTTCTCATAAGGTGGGAGGTAATTGAAAAATGTTACTTCTGAAAAAGTTCCCAAACATTTCTGGGATGTAGATTCTATCGTGTTGATTCCAAAAACATCTCGAGTTTATCCTTCCGGTGCAAGGTTTAAAAATATCCGGTTGAATTTTTTTTAATCCAAAAAATTGCATATTTCAGCGATTCGGGCAACTAACTTCTAGAAGTAGACATTTCTGAGAAAATTTCTTTAGTTAAATGTCGAAATTTTCGATTTCGAGAATTGAAAAATTGTGCTTTTAAAAAGTTGACAAAAAATCCATAAAAAAATTCTAAAAATTTATTCTGGGATGTAAATATCAACGTGTCCATTCGAAAAATACAGCATGCTCATGGTCAAGAGGCAAGATTTTAGAAAAATTCAATTTTTTTTTAGTCCAAAACATACCATATTTCACTGGGCGATTTTTGAAAAATGGCAGCAGTTATAGAAGAAATGGGGCCGAAACTGACTTCTGTAGGTTGAAAACATACGTGCTGATTTGAAAAATATAGCGCGTTTGTC